GGTGCCAGATTTCCGGTATCAAGCGTATATTCAAGAGCCAGTTCTGGTTCCCAATTGCGCGACCGCCAAATATGACTTTACTAGACCGGACCAAGTGTACAACCATGCTTGGCTGTCACATGTGTTGACAGTCGTAATAGTTGGCTAATTTGGGGATGGTTACATCGGGAATTTGTTATTCTCAAAGATTACCGGTTCCTTACTGTCAGCTGAAATCCATGAGACAATTCAAAAAGGTATGAAACATTGTTTGTCAACGAAAGTACTAAGGTCTCGCGAAGTGCTGTGACCTACATACGGGCCCAATTACATCGTTACTATATGAACAAGTGACCCGTGAAGGTCCGGGTTAGAATGTGCCTTCAGTAACCCATGCTTGTCGTAAAAGGCGACTAACGGGATCGGGTGGTCAGGCTCGCTGACTTGGTTGACATATGTCATCGGTTCCCAATTGCGCAGATCGATGCTCATGCTGTTGATCACTGGATTGTCTGGCCCAGACTCGATCATTTACAAACCGCCATAGCTGGAATATTGCTGAGTACAGCGTAAAACTAAAGTCACTCACTCACTCATATGAACAAGTATGATGTCAATGAAAAAGGTCATTTCAACCAGAGAACCTGATCACGGACCTCATAAAGCATTTTGAGAGAACTTAAGAGCATGATCAGGGAAAAATATTAGCCTAAATTCAGGGTACTACAAATAAAGAACATACGATTTATATACCAGATGCATTTTGAAATATATCTGGTCCAGACTCGATTACTTAAGACAACCGCCATGTAGCTGGAATATTGCTGAATGCGGCGTAAAACTAAACTCACTCACTCATTCCCCATCGAAATAAATAGCCTTTTATTTCTATTTTGGCAAATCGGATATTAACCTCTTGAAAAAATAAAAGTGGTGGCAAGGAGAGTTTCAGATCCTTGACATACGTGTGTATAGTACTATTAAGCCTACAGGGCTAAGTGTACTAACATTCATGAGTTGGTGGAACATTTGTGACCACGTGACACCTGTTTCATACACAATGCTTCTCATCTGAACACGGAAGTGCGCCGGAATTCTACCGACTGATGATCACAGCTTACAGCGTATGGTTGCTCTTCATTGTTTGTGGTACATTTGATATAACCTTAACAGCCTTTAACTTCTTATCAACAATATAAGGATCATATCGGAGAATCATTAAGACATGAGCCGAATGTACATCGAAAAGTGTTGATGAAGGCTCTTGTACTTTGATGGGTAAAATCTTACAGGTGGCCGTTTCTATCTCTTTGTCACCTTTCTTCATGTCATTTGGACCTGTAGCCAAATACGTGCAAGTTGGCCTGTATTGGTTACAACAAAGGATAAAGCAAATTGTAAAGCATATCAAAATCAGTTTCCCTCAGTTATTTCACATCAGTAGGCGATAACCACAGTGTTGCCGAGGTGCTATATCTTAAATAAAGGCCTTTAAAAAAACACACATAAAATTTCAATCTATACGAAGACATGTTGATGTGAATTTGTTTCCTTTAAAACCATTAAGTGGGTGTATATTTTGATTTGTTTGTTGTTTATCGCCATACTCAGCAATATTTTAGCAATACCTCGACAGTCTGTAAAGAATCTAGTCGGGACCAGATAACCCATTCATCTACGTGATTGTCTGCGAGCCTGACAACCCCCCACCCCACCCCAAGTTCGACAAACAACGGTTGCTGAATACACATTCTAACCAGGAATGTAATAAATCACCGCATATTCTCGATTACACACAATAGAGTACACATCATGGAGTACATTATAAAGTACAACTAATATAGGAGTATACGTGGGTCAGTACACTTGGTAGAATACAAGTGTCACTAAGAAAGGGGTGTACACATGATAGACTACACGTCCTTAACCACACATGGTAGGACTTACACGGTGGTGTACACCTGGTGATAAAAGTGGTAAATACATAGCGGCTACTCGTGATAGAGTGCACACGGTATGTAGCTAATGGAGTCTATACAGTGGCTAACGTCGTTAGCATTATTCTATGCAAATGGGGCACGAGGACATGTATCCACCAAGTCAGCGAGTCTGAACACCCGATCCCGTGAGTAGCCTCTAAAGAAAATTAGGGGTACAGTACATATGGTGGAGTACTCGTGGTACAGGTACATATGGTGGAGTACACGTGGTACAGTACATATGGTGGAGTACACGTGGTACAGTACATATGGTGGAGTACACGTGGTACAGTACATATGGTGGAGTACACGTGGTACAGTACATATGGTGGAGTACACGTGATACAGTACATATGGTGACTTGTGGTACAGTACATATGGTGGAGTACTTGTGATACAGTACATATGGTGGAGTACACGTGGTACAGTACATATGGTGGAGTACACGTGGTACAGTACATATGGTGGAGTACACGTGGTACAGTACATATGGTGGAGTCGTGGTACAGTACATATGGTGGAGTACACGTGATACAGTACATATGGTGGAGTACACGTGGTACAGTACATATGGTACACGAGGTACAGTACACGTGGTACAGTACATATGGTGGAGTACACGTGGTACACTACAGTACATATGGTGGAGTACACGTGGTACAGTACATATGGTGGAGTACACGTGATACAGTAGTACACGTGGTACAGTACATATGGTGGAGTACACGTGGTACACTACAGTACATATGGTGGAGTACACGTGGTACAGTACATATGGTGGAGTACACGTGGTACAGTACATATGGTGGAGTACACGTGGTACAGTACATATGGTGGAGTACACGTGGTACAGTACATATGGTGGAGTACACGTGGTACAGTACAGTACATATGGTGGAGTACACGTGGTACAGTACATATGGTGGAGTATGGATACAGTACATATGGTGGTACACGTGGTACTACAGTACATATGTGATACGTGGTACAGTACATATGGTGGAGTACGTGGTACTACAGTACGTGGTACACGTGGTACAGTACATATGGTGGAGTACACGTGGTACACTACAGTACATATGGTGGAGTACACGTGGTACAGTACATATGGTGGAGTGGAGTACATATGGTGAGAGTACAGTACATACATATGGTGGAGTACACGTGGTACAGTACATATGGTGGAGTACACGTGGTACAGTACATATGGTGGAGTACACGTGGTACAGTACATATGGTGGAGTACACGTGGTACACGTGGTACAGTACATATGGTGGAGTACACGTGGTACAGTACATATGGTGGAGTACACGTGGTACACTACAGTACATATGGTGGAGTACACGTGGTACACTACAGTACATATGGTGGAGTACACGTGGTACAGTACATATGGTGGACAGTACATATGGTGGACGTGGTACACGTGTACAGTACATATGGTGGAGTACACGTGGTACAGTACATATGGTGGAGTACACGTGGTGGAGTACACGTGGTACAGTACATATGGTGGAGTACACGTGGTACACTACAGTACATATGGTGGAGTACACGTGGTACACTACAGTACATTTGTGGAGTACACGTGGTACAGTACATATGGTGGAGTACACGTGGTACATATGGTGGAGTACACGTGGTACAGTACCCTACATATGGTGGAGTACACGTAGTACAGTACATATGGTGGAGTACACGTGGTACAGTACAGTACATATGGTGGAGTACACGTGGTACAGTGCATATGGCAAGTTCATGTAATAGAGTACATGCGGTAGAGTACATGTGATACAAACTGTAAACTGCACGTGACTTTACACGTGGAACACTGCACAGACTAGAGTACATATGTAACACTGCCATGTCAGGTGTATCATTGTCTGGTCAGTCCAAAATAAAACCATATTCCGACAAGTCCAGCTCTCTAGGTTTTATGCTTTCTGAGACGATATTAGACAAGTTGATATTTCGAAGTTGTATAAAAAAACCAAATGCTTCGAATTTGTTTTGTTAACATCGGTTTAGGCATTCAAGAACATAGTGTTTCAGAGTTTTACCACCACATGACAAGGGACTTTCACATATCCGAGACATAAGATACCTCCTGACTCCATTGTATGAAACCGGTGTCCGACCAAAGGTGACAAGGGACTTTCATACATCCGAGACATAAGATACCTCCTGACTCCACTGTATGAAACCGGTGTCCGACCAAAGGTGACAAGGGACTTTCATACATCCGAGACATAAGATACCTCCTGACTCCACTGTCCGGTGTCCGACCAAAGGTGACAAGGGACTTTCATACATCCGAGACATAAGATACCTCCTGACTCCACTGTCCGGTGTCCGACCAAAGGTGACAAGGGACTTGCATACATCCAGGACATAAGATACCTCCTGACTCCATTGTCCGGTGTCCGACCAAAGGCGACAAGGGACTTGCATACATCCAGGACATAAGATACCTCCTGACTCCATTGCCCGGTGTCCGACCAAAGGTGACAAGGGACTTTCATACATCCAAGACATAAGATACCTCCTGACTCCATTGTCCGGTGTCCGACCTTCATACATCCAAGACATAAGATACCTCCTGACTCCATTGTCCGGTGTCCGACTTTCATACATCCTAGATATAAGATACCTCCTGACTCCATTGTATGAAACCGGTGTCCGGTGTCTCTCAGAATTTGTTCGTCCAGCTTGACACTGTGTGAATATCTGTACATCTGTATATGGCAGACTACGGAGTCTAGGGCTGTGTGGAGTGCGCAGTGTACGTCAAAATGTTGTATAGCACAACGCTATAAACCATATATATCGAGTACTCGATCCTCCTGCAAGTACTTCTTATGAACGTGGCCCTCATTTGAACTGACCCACTGTGTAACCCGAGTACTCGACTTCAAGACTTTAAGGACGCATCGGACATATTGCTGTGTACATACAAAGCGTTACTTCAGCCCTCCGAACATGAAAATACCATTTAACGTAGATTGGAGGTGGTTTGTATGAAGTGTAGTCTGAACGTCGCCATGGTCAACAGCACCAAGTTGTGTCAGATACCTGAGCGAATTGCTGGAGAATGGTTAGTCGCTCTCACAATCATCGGTGCGATTGTCAGCGTTGTCAGTGTTGTCGGAAACGGCATCATCATAGCCGCCTTCGTCGCCATACGTCCTCTGCGTAAACCAAGTAATCTACTTCTCACCAACCTTGCCCTAAGTGACTTACTGAACGGTCTTGTCGGTTTCCCTATATACTTAGTCACTGATTTCTACAATAGTCTCTTCTGCGACTTGATGTTCCGCCATGTTAGATTGTTCATCCTCTACTTCTGCATAAATATGCAACTGAACAATATTTCTATCATTGCCATTGAAAGATTTGTAGGTATACAGTTTCCGTTTATTTATGAACCACATGTTACCATAAAGAAAACATTTCTGCGACGGCCGTTACTTGGGTGTTTGGGATTTCGCGGGTTCGTGGCTTCATCTTATAAGGACAACATTCAGCTGGTTCTCATCGTGGAGTTGCAAGTTCTCATCTGTCTTGTTGTCATCACGTTCCTCGTGTACCTGCGTGTGTATATTGTCAGTAGAAGACATCTGAAGCGGGACCAGCAGTTCGGGATCGCCAAGCAGGAGAGCAAGTCCATGGTCGTTGTGACTGACTGACTGACTGAGTTTGGTTTTACGCCGCTTTTAGCAATATTCCAGCAACATCACGGCGGGCTTCACACATTGTACCCTTGTGGGGATCCGAACTCGGGTCTTCGGCGTGACGAGCCAACGCTTTAACCACTAGGCTACCCCACCGCCCCCCCATGGTCGTTGTGTATATCGCAGTGCTTAACGTCATATCATGGGTACCGGTTGTCGCCGTCCGGTTTGTTGATGCGGTCGTTGTGGAAACACACTACTGGAAACAGGCCACATTTCTGTCACCGTTTGCTGGCACATGTTTGAACTTGTTCATCTACACGTACAAAATGAAGGAATATAGTGATGCGTTAAAACGATTCATGAAGAGGAGCAACAGTGTGGTGCCGCCTCCCTTCTACACAAATACAAGTAAGTTACAGCATCCTCAAGTAGATATAGTATGACCAGAAATTATTGAGAATTTTAGAAATATGTTTAATTGGATTTCTAGTATAAACAACCTTGACCAGCTATCAAGTGCTTGGTTTCATTAAAGAGAGTCAACTCCGTTAATCCTTTTTCACTAGTTTGTGAAGAGTTATCCCCCTTTGTTTACTTGCTAGCAGACGACATTTTCAGTGATCCTCAGTATGGATGATTTAGAGAAGAGGAAGTTGATTTTAGAGTATTATAACAAGGACATCAGATCAGCTAAAGTGATTTCAAGTAGAACAGGCATCCTTTTGTCCACTGTTTATCGTGTTTTGAAAAATATTGCAAATGGATATGGAATTGAGCACCAGGGAGGCGCAGGTAGGCCCAGAAAATTGACTGTCGGTGACAGGAGGCGGCTTGGTATTCTTGTTTCTAAAAAGAAACGAAGGAGTTTAGAAAACTTAAGGCTGGATATGATTGATAGAGGAACTGTGGCTGTCTGTAAGGAGACAATTAGAACTGAGCTGCATGCAATGGGTTGGCAGAAAAGTCGGGGAATTCCATCACCGATCATGAAACCTGGACAAAAGGAGCGAAGGTTGAGCTGGTGCTTACAGCATAGAAATTTTAACTGGGACAATGTGATTTTCTGAGTTGAAAGTTCTGTGTGGCTGTTTCCTAATGCACTGAAATTCTGGACCAAACAAACTGATAAACCTTTGTATCAGCGCCCAAAGTACAGTCCGAAATTTAACGTGTGGGGTGGCATATCTGTGTTAGGGGCAACGCCCCTCTGTGTATTTGAAGGGGCGTTGAACAGTGAGCGGTACACAGATATTCTCGAGGGACATTTACTTCCATCTGCTCACGTGTTCTATGGAAATGTTTGGATTTTCCAGCAGGACAACTACCCAAAACATCATTCAAAGCATTCACAGGCCTGGTTTCGGACCCAAAATATGACATTATTAGATTGGCCAAGCTATAGCCCTGACCTAAATCCAATAAAAACTGTTTGGGGACAGAGAGAGAGAGAGAGAGAGGGAGAGAGAGGGAGAGGGAGAGAGCGATGTGTCAACCAACTTGGCGAGCACGAACCACCCGATGGGTAGGTACAGTTATTTTGTCACCTAAGTGTAATGTTGATTATGTTTTTAAGTAAATGGAACAACAATAGCTCGAATGAATTGGTGTAGCTTGCCCTCAATGCAAAATGACTCTACCTGTCTTGTAAATTTCGAACGTGCAACACAACTCTCTCGAGACAACTCGGGTTTTGGTGTTACTAAAGGAGGCAAGGTCTATCTTTTGCACACCACCAATTTATGGTGTCCAAATTTTTTTATGTATATTTCTAATCGTTCATAAGGGTCAGGCTACGGTCTTTGAAGATTAAATGTGTGAATCTTGTTTTATGTCCCCCACGGTGATATTATTGGAATACAGAGAGGTAAATGAAACGCTGCTCAAAGTAAAGCATGGTTCAAGGGGCAAATTATAACGGGTGGTCAATAAATTTCACTTCACGTCACGTCCGATACACCATTCAAATCTCCCAGATTTAGTTTGGCTGCACCATATACAACGTGGTAGGCGTTTATCACTATGCATTGGACTGTAGGATGGCTGGCTTGGTCACATGCCAGCCATCATGTAGGAAGTTTTCACGTAATATCGGTGATCGCTGTTTGGCATGCCAAATTTGATGCCACCATACCCATGTTCGGCTCTGTGACATGCATGTATCAACCTTCATTCAGCTTTCTGTACACTCCCTACAAGTTGAAGACATTTGGTACCAGATCTTTTAAACACTACTGCTGTGCTATGGCACGCTCTTCACCTTTTATCAAACGAGCTCCTTCCTTTTGACGGCCTTTTTAAATATGGCATATAGACTCATCACTGACAATTGATTATCTTTTTAGTTGAATGCGATTTGAGCACGTCCGCGCGGCGTGGAGTTTAGCGCAATATAAGTGACCTTATGTGAATGTAGAAAGACGAATCAGCTGGTTTCGGGCTGTGGCAGCCCAGTCGTCTGCACAGAGTTGCGCCCCTTCGGTGCGCCAGAAACCTTTGCAATAGAGTTAGGATCAAGAATCACCTCAATTTGTGTTGATCATCACTTCACCTCCACTCATTGGTTTCCCCGACGTATTACGATGAAGGCTGAATTTCTTTTTTTCCCACACCTGGGACACGTCAAAATATAAAACAAACAGTTTACAGAATTTACCCAATTCATATTTTACAGGTGTGGCCTTGGGGCCCGATTTAGAATTGTATTCATGTGTAAAATATCGCATGTCTAATAGTTAGATGCAGCCTTTTAATTTCTTTTGAATATTCGTTTCCTCAGTATTCCATCGTAATCATTCCTTTTACTGCTTGCTCCTATTTTGCAGACGACGATGATCCACGTCTAATTTTCACTTATGATCAGGGACTGACATGACCTTCGTGACAGCAGCAACGACCTCGTCAGCTGGGCGTCATTGCTTGGGATAGGATAGTGGTGCTCATATCAGTGGGTGTATCCGGCTGTGCCCTGGCAACATGCAGGTCAAACTTACAAGTTGTCGCTGCCTAATGAATAAATACTGAAATTAGTTTGTTTCTTTTCATTAATTATATGAGACGGCCGTTGTATCGGGAGTAAAGTGATAGAACCCCTGTGCTCCCGCCTGTGAATGGCGACTGGAGTGTCCAGTGGGCGTCCTGCTAGTCTGCTTCACCATCACTCCCACCAAATGATTTGATATCCTGTTCCTTGTCTCAAATGTAGGTGGGAACCATGTATTCGAGTTAAACCTACCAACTAGTGACAAAAGAGAAAAGAACAATACGTTTTGAGGTCAGATTCAACGGTTAAATCTACTCGGAATTGGGAACTGCAAATCACGCGTAGAAACCATTGCCCTGTGGCCAAGACTATGGCTGGCCTGTTAATATTACCTGCTGACAAGATCCATGAACGCCCGATATTTTCCTATATTATTTGATGTTCAATCTTTTGTAAGTGGTGCACTTCAGTACTACTGAAAAGGCTTAACAGCAGCTCTGGTTGATTCACATCCCACCACCATTTCATGTATAGATATGCATGCCATTTTCGAAAAACGTCAAGCGCCGGTTCGGCTATCACTAATTTCAGTTTGATAGCGGCGGCCGGTTTCTTGCTGGTGAGACAGGTGGTTTCATGGTTGATAGCCGACACCACCTGAGGTAGCGCGCTACCCATTCCGTCGATCGTTTTTCTGGGTTGACCATCTCTTTCGCATACTGGTGACCGAATAAGCGCTCGGCCAAAGTCCGATTGAATCTCTCGACTATGGCTTGGCTGCGATGAGCCCCGGCCGCGCCACGCCTGACTTGGACGTCGTGCTGGGCTAACAGTTGTGACACAGCACCCATGAACTCCCGCCAGGGGTCGACTTGCAGCTCTGTGGGCCATGTTAGCGGACTGCGTTTGTATATGCGCTCGAATCCGCGGGCTACTTGGGCCGCATCTTTCGCGGTTAAGGGCTCGGCTTCCTTGTAGTGGCTAGCAACGTCAACGACGATTAGGGCATACTTGTACCTCCTGTCGTGGGGTAGGAACAGGAGGTCGGCCTGGTGGACGCTATTGAGTACGGCAATGCCAAACTTTCTTCGAGGCACGTAGCGTGGTGCCGGTAAATAGATCTGCCACAGGGCTTGTTTTTCAAGCCACGCTTTGGCCTCGTCTGGGGGTACTCTCGCCATTTTGGCAAGCTTGTGTATGGCACTAGCTCCTTTCCAGTACCCACGTGGGCTGTAGTAAATAGCCTCAAACTTTCTTTGGTTCTGTGACATCGTATATAGACACCTATGTTCTTGGGTCAATTTTCCCATGTCTCTTGATGTCGATGGCTCACCACGCTACTGTCCATCGGTGATAGGGAAGTCTTGTTTCTCGTCAGTCCGTATATCTTGTGTCCATCGCTTCTCAGCGTGTTCATCTGATGCCTGAAGGTGCGGGTCTTGAACAGGGCTTCCTTGAATCTGGCATGTTTGATGCGTTGTTTCACCACGTACTTCTTGACACCCTTCGCCTTTCGGATCTCGCCGTTGTCGGCCTTCAGGATAGAGTACATCTTAGGCCTCAAGCCTGTGTACTCGGCGATCGGCGTGCCGGCACATTCGTCCTTCATCTTACCGAGGACCTTTTTGTTAACGGTGCTGTTCATGGCATGGTCCTTGGGGTAGTCACTGGTGTCGTATAAATGGATGTGTTTTGTCATGTCCTCCTACACGTCTTCAGTTCGAATCTCCATCAGCAGGGAGTCCGTGTCCGTGTACAGCACTTCGCATCTGTCGCCGTACTGTTTCTTGAGCTCGTTGTAGTAGAAGTCGTACATCAGGTGCTTGGAGAGGTCGAGGATGCTCATCCCAACGTAGACGGGCCGGTTGAACTTGATGTGGCTCTTCCTTATGTGTAGGGCCAGCAGATCGTTGGTGAATATCTTGCTCCGGTTGAATGCCGGGCTGGCTATCAGTCTCCTGAGCTTGTCTTCCTCTTTAGACCGGACCAGCTTCACGGTCACGCATTTTCGCAAATTCTCCATCGTCTTACT